GAGAGGGAAGGGAGATAAGATTGAGAAAGGGAAGGGAGATAAGATTGAGAGAGGGAAGGGAGATAAGATGAGAGAGGAGAGATCATGATATAGGGAGAGAGGGAAGGGAGATAAGAGGAGAGAGGGAGGGCAGATCATGATCATCTGGGAGAGAGGGAAGGGAGATAAGATGGAGAGAGGGAAGGGATATAAGATTGAGAGAGGGAAGGGAGATAAGATTGAGAGAGGAGAGATCATGATATAGGGAGAGAGGGAAGGGAGATAAGATGGAGAAAGGGAAGGGAGATAAGATTGAGAGAGGGAAGGGAGATAAGATGGAGAGAGGAGAGATCATGATATAGGGAGAGAGGGAAGGGAGATAAGATGGAGAAAGAGAAGGGAGATAAGATTGAGAGAGGAAAGGGAGATAAGATGGAGAGAGGAGAGATCATGATAAAGGGAGAGAGGGAAGGGAGATAAGATTGAGAGAGGGAAGGGAGATAAGATTGAGAGAGGAGAGATCATGATATAGGGAGAGAGGGAAGGGAGATAAGATGGAGAGAGGGATGGGAGATCATGATATAGGGAGAGAGGGAAGGGAGATAAGATGGAGAGAGGTAAGGGATATAAGATTGAGAGAGGGAAGGGAGATAAGATGGAGAGAGGAGAGATCATGATATAGGGAGAGAGGGAAGGGAGCTAAGTTGGAGAAAGGGAAGGGAGATAAGAGATCATGATATAGGGAGAGAGGGAAGGGAGATAAGATTGAGAGAGGGAAGGGAGATAAGAATGAGAGAGGGAAGGGAGATAAGATGGAGAGAGGGGAGATCATGATATAGGGAGAGAGGGAAGGGAGATCATGATATAGGGAGAGAGGGAAGGGAGATAAGATTGAGAGAGGGAAGGGAGATAAGATGGAGAGTGGGAAGGGAGATCAGATGATACAGGGAGAGAGGGAAGGGAGATAAGATTGAGAGAGGGAAGGGAGATAAGATGGAGAGAGGGAAGGGAGATAAGATTTAGAGAGGGAAGGTAGATAAGATTGAGAGAGGGAAGGGAGATAAGATGGAGAGAGGGAAGGGAAATCATGATACAGGGAGAGAGGGAAGGGAGATAAGATTGAGAGAGGGAAGGGAGATAAGATGGAGAGAGGGAAGGGAGATAAGATTTATGAGAGGGAAGGGAGATCATGATATAGGGAGAGAGGGAAGGGAGATAAGATGGTCAGAGAGAAGGGAGATAAGATGGAGAGAGGGAAGGGAGATAAGATGGAGAGAGGGAAGGGAAATCATGATACAGGGAGAGAGGGAAGGGAGATCATGATATAGGGAGAGAGGGAAGGGAGATAAGATTGAGAGAGGGAAGGGAGATAAGATGGAGAGAGGGAAGGGAGATAAGATGGAAAGAGGGAAGGGAGATAAGATGGAGAGAGGGAAAGGAGATCAGATGGAGAGAGGGGAGGGAGATCATGAGATTTGAAGAGAGGGAAGGAAGATAATGATAGAGAGAGGGAAGGGAGATAATGATGGAAAGAGGGGAGGGAGATCATGAGATTTGAGGAAAGGGAAGGAAGATAATGATGGAGGAAAAGAGGGGAGGAAGATATTGGAAGAGAGGAAAGGGAGATAATGATGGAGGAAAAGAGGGGAGGAAGATATTGGAGGAGAGGAAAGGGAGATAATGACTTAGGAAGAGAGGAAAGGAAGGTTATGATCAATTACAAAAACAAAGTGCCAACTACAATAAATAATATGCAGGCTCTGACACATTAAAGTTATAAATGAACCATTGAATGATATTTGTGTTGTATGGAGCCAGGAACAAGTGCCAAACTACTAGTATTTAAATCAATAAGAGTTTCTTGTGTCCCTCACTGAAAAAAGTAGGTGAAATGATTTCCATTTGCAAATAATGCCCTGTTTCATTAATTATCAGAAAAGTTAATGTTTTGGTATAAATATTTGTTGAAAAATCCAAAACAATTCTAAAAAATTTAAAAGTGACATTTTCAATCAAACTCCAAAGGGAAGCAACTCTGCACAATTTACATATCAGAATTTGATATAATCTGTCATGTTAATTTCTGCTTATCATTGGTTGTCAAGTAAAAAAAAAATCAAATTTTACCTAACTTCTGACAATAAGGAGACCATCATATAATACTTACAGCAAGAAAAAATTATTTTTCTTTGTAAATCATTTTTTAAAAATCAATATAATATGAAGTAAATGATAAGTTCTTTTAGATAAATTTCCTTTCATTGTCACAAAAACAATGCGGAAAAAAACCCACAAAAACTAAATTGAAAACAAAATGCATATACTTATATTTTCAATATTGAAAACTGATTTGAAGTGTAATTTTGTAGACACAACAACAAAGTCACACAGTATATTTATTATTCAACTAACAGGTAATGATTGACTTAAATGTTTACAATGTGAAACATGACCTGTCATCATTCCTCATTTTTTTCTGCACACAAAATTTCTGAGGTGAAACATCAAATTTTTTGTTTTAAATATATAACATAACAGGTACGAAGGCAATTTATCAACAGTTATAAACAACATCATCAACAAAACAACAAATTAACACTGTACAGTAAATTTTGTGACATCTATTTATCACAACAACCTCAACCATAATGCTAGCCCAGCTTTTCAATTCACTTCTGAAAATGAAAATTTATGATCCAATCTAAAATTACATTATGAATTCAAATTTTATTCACTAACAGTAAAAAAAAAAAGAATTGTTCGACTCATGTAGACAGGATATGAGTTTCTCATGTCTAACTTATATTTAGAACTTTTGAGAAGTTTAATAAAATTTGACAAAAATCTAAAATTCAAATTATGTGATTTCATGCATCTGCTATTTGAGAAAGTGGATTCTGGTCACTTGTGACGAGAAGAAAACCTAACAATTTAGACCCCACACTACCTTTACCTTCTATAAAAGATATTCTGTAAAATCTTGAGATTTTTTCAAGTTTTACCAATTCTCACGATGTTATACTTACCATAACTTCAGTATGCAAATACAGTACAGGCACCCATCTTTGTAACTCAAAAAACAAAATATTCAAATATTCCATCCTACCTACTCTCATGTGAGCTTAACTTTACAGGAGACATAGAGTGATCTCCCTTTCTCAAAAGCCTTAATGGGTAGTCAGACTGAGAAGATATGGGGAGGATAGTATGGGACTCCATAAAGTTATGGTAAGTATTTTATCATAAAAATCTGTTTTGAATAAATCTCAATTTCATTTCAGTAATAATTACCATACCTTCAGAAAGCATAATTGGAGGGCAGTCCTGGACAAACAGCACAACTCCAGGCAGAAAGAAAGTGGTTCTGGTACCCTAACCCCTCCTCCCAAAAAATTATTACTGAAATAAAAATTTATATTTTGTGGGGCTCAATTTTCGTGGTTTTTTTTATTTTTCATTTTTTTTTTAAATTTCTATTTCTAAGAAACTAAATATAGTTTAATAAATTTGTTTATTTTATCAGTTTGTGGACAAAGGAATTTGTGAATTTCGAGTACCCACAAAATCAATCATTAGTTCCCCACAAAATTCATAATTTTACAGCATATCAAAGTAGGAAATTTGTTTGTGACTTAATGATGACTAGTGCGACATCTTCTCCAGGTGGTATGACTTCTTAATCAAGTTTTAAATTAGGAACGTTTTATTTCATGAAAAACTGATGAATATCAACTTCGATTTGAAAAACGGAATTTTTTTTATCCAGTTAATTTTTTCCAGTTTTTAAAAATTAAATCTCACTTTTTTTAAGCTTGGATGATATAATATCTGTAGTGTTAACAGAAGAAGGAAAGCTAGCAGAGAAACCCCATTGTTACCAGGGAGATCTGAAATCTATCACATGTTATCAGGACAGTGAATACTCCTTATTGTGTTGGTGACATCCAATACCCTAATTGTTCACTTTGCAAAATTCTGACTTTCAGGTAAAAAAAAAGTCACCAACAATACCAGTGAATCATTAATCAAGCTGATTTCTTCTACAAATATAAGTTGTCATCATCTTGTCATTTGGTACATAATTTTGTGTCTGCTTTGATGCGAATTCATTTGATCATTCTAAAAAAAATCTTTTGAAGTTTTGAAATTCAAACATCTAAAGAAAAAAGAAATATTTGATACATTTTTTTTTCTTTTTAACTCATTGGATCTGATCACAAACTTCCTTAAACTCTATATGAATTCAGTACTAAAATAATTGTATCTAGCTTCTGTTTGCAAATAATTCCTTTGTAAAAATACTGTACATATAGAATTACTGTTTCTAATAGGTGAAGTCAACCATCTCATAGTGAAGTGTCATTCTTCAGGGATATTTCTTTAAAAAAAACATAGAAACACTACATTCCTGTGAACAAAATTTGTGTCTAAGAAGAAAAAAAACAAAAAAGTCTATCAGACATGAATGACTCTGCTCCCGAAGCATTTGCACAAGTTGTCAAATGTAACCTTTGACCCTTTAAAATTAACTCACGACCACCTTAGTTAAGGTGTAAATTTGATATCATGATGCTATGGGGCAAATATGACCCAAAATGTTTTATTAGATCTCAAGATGCGACATTGATTTTGAATGGGACGTGATTTGATGGGGCGAACATGGGTAACACTATATGCCCACTCAATCCCATCAAATGGCGGGGCATCAAAACACAAACACTTAAAGTTAAATGCTACCTTGTACATCATACATGTAATTCTAAAATATGAAAGAGTTACCTCCCTTCAATCCTACTAATTTGTAGGGAGAACAATATAGAAATTAGCCTGGTATATAACCATTTCATGGCCCAGCCTGATAATATTTTGTTTGTCCAAAACTTTGTAGTATTTGCACCAGAAAAGCTATTCCAACTTTACAAACCATTTTAAATGGTTGAAGATCAGTCTCTATCTGTGCTATGTCCTGTTATTTTACACCAATAAACAATTTAATGGTCTAGCTTTCAATCTGTTTCACTTCAGTTCATTGGTTCATCAAAATTGTCCAATGAAAATTGAGAAGCTTGTAGATTGGGCGACTGACTCCCTGACCGATCTGACTGGGCTTCTTCAGAGCGGTCCATACCCATACAAAGGGTTGATGACTTTAGAGGCACGGGCCAGCCACTAGAGTAGACTCCCTTGAGGGCAGGGTCTCGTCGAGAGATTAAGTAAGGACTAGAGCTATGTATATGTCTTTGAAGCTGATCTGACTTCTGCTGGCGTGAAAATGCTGCCACATCAAAATTGTTCCTTGACAGGGGAAGAATATGGTCATGTGATGATTTCATCATCGTATTCATATGTAACGGGGGTCGTACCATAGCTGCTCCACTGGCAAGAGATTTCGATAGCGTAAATACATTCATATCAATTCCTCTGGCTGTCTGTTGATGTATCCTGTCGTAACGTACTGAACGATCATTGTGATTGTCCTCATCAATATTCCTAGCATCCCATTGGTTGAAATTGGAAATCCTGTCTTCTGACTGATTGTTACAAGGTTTGCTTTGTAACTGACTGAATGGGGAGCTCCTGTTCTCTGGTTGGCTAACCTCTGAAACCTTGCCTGCAGATTGGCTATGATTTAAGATTTTACCTTCCAGCTGACCGTTTGATGACATTTTATCTGACTGGCCAAAGTTAGGCATTTTGTCCAACTCACTGAACTTTTGAATCTTGTCTGAATGATTCAAGTTAGCCATTTTGTCCGAGTGGCTAAAGTTAGGCATTTTGTCTGACTGGCTAAAGTTAGGCATTTTGTCTGACTGACTAAAGTTAGGCATTTTGTCTGACTGGCTAAAGTTAGGCATTTTGTCTGACTGGCTATAATTCGGCAATTTGTCTGAATGATTAAAGGTAGGCATCTTCATATCCGTCCGGTCAAAGTTAGGCATATTAAGCCTAGAGAGTGGAATGTTTTTATGAATGCCATTTTGAGATTCACCCAGACAACTATGTGTTGATGAATCTTGGGAAGTCTCTCTGTGGAATCTATCCTCGTACCGGACTAGGTCTTCCTTCTGCTCAGCTGAGTTCTCCTCCTCTGGGGTTAGTGGTGTGGAAATAGGAACCATAGTAGGGGGCATGTACAAGTGTTGTGGCCGTGATGCCTTCCTCTTCCTTGGCTTTACCTGTCCTGACAGGTTCACCTGTGAGGGAGATGTGGGGCTGCTTTGGGGAAGGGGAGATGAAGATTCAGTCGGCCCTGGGGGATCATGTTGCTGCTGAAGCTGCTGCTGGGTCAGGTCAAGAGGCTTGGAATGCAGGTGTGTCTGTCAACAAGGAAGAAATGACAACATTAACAGGTGTGTCTGTAAACGAAGAAGAAATGTCAACACTTAGTTACAATGTGTTTGTCAACAAAGAAGCAACGACAACATTAACAGGTGTGTCTGTAAATGAAGAGGCAATGTCAACACTTAGTTAACATTGTGTCTGTAAACAAGGAAGAAATGTCAACACTTAGTTAACATTGTGTCTGTCAACAAACAAGAAATGTGAACATATAGTTAACATTGTGTCTGTCAACAAGGAAGAAATGTCAACACTTAGTTAACATTGTGTTTGTCAACAAAGAAGAAATGTCAACATTTAGTTAACATTGTGTTTGTCAACAAAGAAGAAATGTCAACACTTAGTTAACAATGTGTCTGTAAACAAAGAAATGTCAACATTTAGTTAACATTGTGTCTATAAACAAGGAAGAAATGTCAACATTTAGTGATCATTGTGTCTGTTAACAAGGAAGAAATGTCAACACATAGTTAACATTATGTCTGTAAACGAAGAAGAAATGTCAACATTTAGTGAACAGTGTGTCTGTTAACAAGGAAGAAATGTCAACACTTAGTAACTGGTTTGTCAACAATGAAAAAGATATACCATTTTGTCAGAGGTGAATCTGTCAACAAGGAATAAATGACAACATTTAGACACATATGTGTCTGTCAACAAAGAAGAAATGACAACATTTAGACACATATGTGTCTGTCAACAAAGAAGAAATGACAACATTTAGACACATATGTGTCTGTCAACAAAGAAGAAATGACAACATTTAGACACATATGTGTCTGTCAACAAAGAAGAAATGACAACATTTAGACACATATGTGTCTGTCAACAAAGAAGAAATGACAACATTTAGTCGCATGTGTTTGTCAACAAGGAATAAATGACAACAATTTTTAGATTTCGTCACAGATATGTCCATTTGTCCCAGAGGGATCTTGGTGCCAACCTTTGTATGATTTTCTTTGTTCTTAAAAATTTTGATCCCTTCCCTTTTTTTATTTATGATTTGCTCTAGATGATCGGAAATCTGACAATACTTCTCAAGCAACAGCAACAATCCACTCAGTCCATTTTTCATGTCATTACAACATTACATTATAAGATATTTTGTGAATGTAGACAAACCACTGTCTGGAACAGCAGGGCAAATATATATGACGGGAATTTGTAGATGTAAATTTTTATCATATGCATAGACTTTTATTATCTGCCATCATTCTACGTATACATATTCATATTTCTTCAACATAATAAAAGTAGGTTTTCATTGATAAAAAAAAGCAATCGCAACAATAACCTGACTTTACTGAAGTCCACGAGGGTCACAGTCAGCCATTTTTTTTTTTTATCATTTCTAAAATGGACAATGCACAGTTAGTCTATGGAAATAAGAG